TTGCTAATTGTGTGTTCAACTATTACTCATTCAATATCGCTGTTGCTAATTGTGTATTCAACTATTACTCATTCACTATCGCTGTTGCTAATTGTGTGTTCAACTATTACTCATTCAATATCGCTGTTGCTAATTGTGTGTTCAACTATTACTCCTTCACTATCACTGTTGCTAATTGTGTGTTCAACTAGTACTCCTTCACTTTCATTTTTGCTAATTGTGTGTTCAACTATTATTGCTCCAATATCACTGTTGCTAATTGTGTGTTCAACTATTACTTCTTCACTATCACTGTTGCTAATTGTGTGTTCAACTATTACTTCTTTACTATTACTGTTGCTAATTGTGCGTTCAACTATTACTTCTTTACTATTACTGTTGCTAATTGTGCGTTCAACTATTATTGCTCCAATATCACTGTTGCTAATTGTCTGTTCAACTATTATTGCTCCAGTATCTCTGTTGCTAATGTGAACGAAAGAATCGTCCTCAACAATTGGTGGATATTCCGAGCGGAAAGTGGTTTATAAGTACGCGTACTTGAGAGCGAAACTTTCCCACCTCTTTGAGATGTGGGGGCGTGTGTTTGAGAATTTTGACATCCTTATTCCCCCCTCCCCACCTTCAACCCCCCTCCCGATCATTATTCTCTAGATCCCTCCTAAGTATGAGAAGTAACTTGAAGTAGTACTCATATTGTGGAGGGATATTGTGTTTTTTTTCCCTAGACTTCAAGACACACACAGCATAATACAGACACTCTCTCTCACACACACACAGATATATATATATATATTTTCTCGGCTGCGGTTTAAGAACGTTTTCGGTCAAAAGTCTTAGTTCAGGATTTTGTGATTTTTATAAAGCTAATATCAACTTACTCCGTCTGTCTGTCTGTCTGACTGTCTGTCAAACAAAAAATTCTTTACGTTATTTCTCCCACGACCAATCTCAAATCAATTATTTCTTTTACCTAACAACAATAAAGAAAAGCATGGGAATTGATTGTCCCATTACGTATCGGGAAAGAAGGGAAAAGGAAATCTAGCCTAAACCCAAACAAGGGAAAGATATCGTACTTAAAAAAATGTGGGGGTATAAGTTGAATTAGTTCCCTTGAAGAGGCTTGAGCCCTGAGTGAACAAGTTATGTATGCATTTAGAAAGCGATCACGCTAAAATTCGCACAGATACTCTCCCCACTTCGCCACCTCCCTCTTTCCCAACTGGTCCATATAAGTGATAGGATCATGGCGCATTGAGAAAGCAAAAAGAATGTGCGCTTAACAAAAACAATTGGTAAAAATATTTCTAATCACATTGTTTTATTATTGTTAGTTTAGATCTATTAAAAATGTAATTACATGACTGATCCGAATTAATTAATACAATTACACTTTATACAAGCTTTGTTTTTTAAAAGTATTTTGTTATTTTTTTCTTGTTAATAACTAGATAGATAGACAGATAGATAGATAGATAGATAGATAGATAGATAGATAGATGAGATTGTGCTTATCTTCCTGTACACAGACAATGATACTTCTTTTATCACTAGGAAATGTAACCACTATCCGTATTTATAAGTTAATTTTTACTCATAAAAGGCGGAAGTTTACTTTATCAATTGTGCCTCTCTTTTCGCTTTTCAAATTACTCTAATACAGTTAATGGGATGAACATCTGAATGGATGTTCATTCATTACTATCAAGTTGTTATTATGCTAAGATCGGAATTTTTTTTATCTTGAAAGAATCATAGGTAGTAGGCCTACAAATATTTTATTAAAATCATTTATAAATTTTTTGTAATTAGGCAGGTAATTGTGTAATAATGTCCACTTATATGGCTCCTTCGTGGTCGAAGATGAGCACATTTCTCATTTCCTATGGACTCGAAGATAACTGTTAAGTCCAATCCTCGCTTTAAAAAGCCGGCCGCATACGTGGTATGGGTGGGTTAGGTCAGTTGCAGATAGGCCTGCTTCTTCTTTCAGCTTTTTGTTGGTTCGGCGCTCTTTCACCCTGGCCACTCTTTTTGCTTCAAATCTCGAGACTCAGAGACTCACAGCTTCACGCCATTAGAAGCGATCGAGAGCCAGTGCTTCCCAGCCGTGAGTGTCGATATCGCATTCCTTTAAGGTGCTCTTGAGAGTGTTTTTTTATAGCGCTTGTATTGACCTCCCTGGGAGCGTTTTCCTGCACACAACTCCCCGTACAGAAGTCGTTTCGGAAGGCGTTTATCTGGCATACGGACTACATGTCCAGCCCATCGAAGTTGGGACCTTTTTACTGTCGCATTGATACTGTACATGTTGGACAGCTTTAAGATTTCTGTGTCTAGTATGTAGTCGGACCAACGCACCTTATGGATACTCCTTAGACAGCGTAGGTTGAAGGAGTTTAGCTTTTTGGTGTGGCGGGAATATAGGGTTCAGGACTGAAGCATATAGGAGTGACGGGAGGACTACAGCATTGTAGACTTTCAGTTTTGTGGATATGCTGAGTCCTCTTCGATGCCACACTTGTTCTTGAAGTCTGCAAAAAAGAGCACTGGCACGAGCAACACGGAAGACAACCTCGTCATCTAGGTTGGTGTTTGCTGATATGATGCTTCCCAGATAGACAAACGTTTTGACGTTTGGGGTTCAAACCCCCCCCCCCCCCCGAAATGAAATCCCCCCCATCGGAATTTAGTGAATGATTTTTTGCTTTGATTTTGTTTATTTTAGGTGAGATTTTAATACTAAACCATCAATTGCCCCAGCACAACCAAGTTTTGAGTTTAAAACCCCTTACCAGGGGGTTTTGAGTTTAAAACCCCCTACTAGGGGTTTTGAGTTTTAAACCCCCAATGGGTTTTTTGTTGTTAACCCCCCCCCCCTCTTCTATAAAACAAAACAAAACAAAAATGCAAACGAAAATCCCTAATTCCCAGAGCACAGTTAAGGGAGATTTTGATTTTAAAACCCCCTCCAAAATTTACGATAAACCCCCTCTTCAATATAAAAAAAAGTTAATTACGCACTCAAAATGTTATGAGCGTAGCTAAATAGGTTTTGACTTAATTTTTAGTTTAAACCCCACTTCAGAGGGTTTGAAGGTAAAAAATACCTCTTTAATAATAAAAACAAAGCAAATTATACACTCAAAATGTTTTGAGTGTAGTAAAAGGGGTTTTGAGTTTAAACTCCCCTCCAGTGGAGTTTGAAGCTAAAAAGTACCTCTTCAATATAAATAAAAGCAAATTACTCACCTTAAAATCTATGAACGCAGCCAAAGGGGTTTTGAGTTTAAACCCCCCGCCAGGCGGGTTTGAGGCTAAAAAATACATCTTCAGTGTAAGAAAAAAAAGCAAATTACGCACTCAAAATGCTATGAGCGTTGCCAAAAGGGGCTTTGAGTTTAAACCCCATTCAGAGGGGTTTAATGCTAAAAATACCTCTTCAATATAAAAAAAAGGAAATTACACACTAAAATTATTTGAGCGTAGCCAATCCAATCGGGGGTTTTGAGTTTAAACCCCTCTTCTACAGATGGCGTTTGTTTAAAGTTTAAAAAACCCCTCCAGATGGTTTTGAGTTTAAGATCCCCCTACAGAGCATTTTGAGGTGGAAAACCCCCAACAGATGATTTTGACGATAAAACTTCTCTTTTCGATACAAAATCTAAAGCAAACTACAGTCACCTAATTCCAAGAGCGTATTCAAGAGTGGTTACACATTTTTACCAGTGGCAGGGCTCCCTTAATAAACTGCAGTGAATAGTCATCTGCCGAAATTGAAAAACACTAAATGTGGCTCAACAAAGATGGCTAAGACAGATTTTAGGAGTCAGTTATAGAGATCAGGTTTAAATCAAGGAATTCCTATGCCGAACTGGGAGTCGACCCTTTAGTAAGATTGTGAGAGAGCGACGCATGAGATTTGCGGGACATGTTCTCCGACAAAATGAATTACGCATAAGAAGAGTTGCAATGATATCCTAGTACAACTTGACGCCACTCATTCATTGAGGTCCTCATGGCAGGTAGGAAGAGGCTTCAGACATTACCAGTGACAGATTTTTATGGAAACAGCTTGACGTCAAATACTCCGAACGGCGCGGTAGGGTCTAAGTCAGTAAGAATAGCACATTAGGTTTTTTGAAATAAAATTTTTTAATAGCAGGAAAATGCACTGTAGATACCTCAGAATATGCATTTTGTTGGCTTTCAATATCAGAAATAGTGCTTGGCGGAGGGGCTCTGCCCCGCGCTGGGGGAGCTCCTAGCGCTCTCCCAGACCCCCTTGCTAGTATTGGCGGGGAATCTACAATTTTTCCACTAACTCGTGGAAGAACCTATTCTAGGGTACAATAAACGTCTTCCGAAAGAATGAAGGGTCAGAATGCAATAAAGATTATGTACACACACACATAAATACATATAAGAAAAATATCCCCCCCCCCCCCGAAAAAAAATCCTGGCTACGCCCATGCTCTTTAGTATTGAAAAGATCATAAGGGGTCTCCCAGTCATCTCCCCTACTGGGTCTCATTAATCGGGCAATGCTTTCAAAAAAACGCACAATAAAGTTTTGTATGAGCTTTTGTCCTGTTACGGATCACCCAAAGAGCCTCTTTCTGGTAATTAAACATTGCTTTCTCCAGTGATAAAGAGTTGTCAGTTCATCAAAATCTCAAAGTCGTAGCAAAATGGCCACTCGGAACATTTTAATTTTGTAAGTTAGCTTACCACCAGCGCATGTACTTCAGTGTTAACCGCAATATCTAAGGTTTGATCATGTAACTTTGATCATTTGACATTGCACAACAAATGCACGTACCAAGAAGCTTCTCGGTATCTCAGCTGTGTTAGTCTTTAATGTCAATGTGCTTTATCATTTAACTCATGTTTTTTGCAGCTCTCGAGTTGCACCCATTCGAACTGAGAATACTTTCATTTCAAGCATGGACAACACACATAAATGCAACGTGAAGAAACAAACAATGCACAGTACATTATTTGATATAAAATATTTATTATAAATGACTACATCCAGAAAGTAATATGATCAAAGCATAAATTGATACAAACAAAAAGTCTTCATTAAAACAAAAATAAAACAACAAAATTCTAGTACAAGTCTTAGAATAGTTGGAAGTTGTAATAGTTAGCACCAGGCCGTTGAGTCAAGACTTAATCACAGCAAAGTTACCTCCAATCAAGAACTAGTATACTGAGTGTAGAACTCGAGTTCTACATACATTACAATATGCAGTCGTGCTTCTGATAGTCCAAATGTTTCTATCAGTGACGTCGTTGCTCATTAGTAATGAGGCATAACTTAATTCTTCCTTAGAGAGGATAACCAAAACTAAACGTATTAATACATTTTATATATTGTAGCTAATAATGTTCTGTAGACATTCAGTGATTGCACCAAACACATGAATAGTCAGATTACTTCTATGAATTAACTTAAATATTAAGAATTTTTTTTTTAAAGTATTAAATGGTTTGCACCCAACTTGAAAATTTTTGCTCAGAAGTTTCAATTCTTGCCTAGATAACTCTAACAGGAAGAAACTAAGTCACAATAAAGCACTGCAGTAATGATCAAACGTTTAGAGGGCACTCTTATGTGACAGCAACGTAACAAGCCAAAAAACAGCAAAGGAAGCTCATAGTATTTGGCCTTTGATGGACTTGGATTTGTTTTGAAATCCATCATTTTGTCAACACTTTTCATATTTCATTAAAAAAAATTAAATTTGAATTTTAAGTGAGAGAAAACAAACTAAAAAAAAAAGAAAAAGCCACAACATTAGCTTATTAAACCCAAGATTTCATGACCAGAAATTTTGAACACAATTGACACCAAAGCAAAATCGAAAGCATTCAGTCTGACAAGGAATATTTAGGTGTGTCTGTGTGTGTTGGAGGTCTGGCTATGTGAACATTATAAAATACCATCATCCGATGAAAACTGGGTCTCCAGGATATGAACAGCTGACTTGCGTCATAAGAACTTAGGCTGGTATAGGCACTGAGTCAAAAGTGGTAGTTGGTTTGGGGGGGGGGAGGAGTGCAACTGGTACATATAAAGTTATGGAATGATATTGCATAGGCCCTGTGTGAGATGAGACATTCACTGACCCCTATAAGTAGCTCCAATGATAAACATTGTTTTCGTATAATATCACTAACAAACGTGTCCTTCATGGTCCTGCTTTAAGACTTATATGTCCAGGAGAAAGTAATATGAAGATATTATTCCTTTCTAAGGCCAGCAACTTGTCATGAGGTCATCAACTACTTTCCTTGACTAAAATAGGGTTCTTGTTCAAACTAGTGATTTCCTTATCACACTGTCGACACATCTTGTATTCTTTTTAGTCTATGACCATCTACACTGTAGATGACATGAATCATGCTAAAAACAAAACATTACTTTCTAATCACAGCTATTAATACTTCATAAAATGTATAGTTTCTTATATACTTTCTTGTCCTTCCTATTACACTGACCTACATGCAGTGAAGCTCATCCCACACTAGGGTATAAATTAAAGAGTCAATGTTTCTGTTCAAATGATGAGTACATGGATGGAGGATGTAAAGAATGAGAGAAATGTTAGAAACATTCGATGTATTCATGACTTATGTGACATAATGCTTACACAAATAAGCTTTAAGCTAGAAATCTCTACTAGACTGTTTCCTTCACACATAATTACTGTATTCCAGAGCTAACAAACATATCTACTTCATTAGTTCCACATAACGATTCATCTTGTGATTCATCGTTGTTTAAGTCTAGACATTCTTTTCATAGAAATACAAATATCATTCAAGCGATTGATTATATGTAGAAAACATAATTCGCAAACTTTCAACTTATGTGTTTTATTTATAGATATTAAAAAAAACATTTTTCTTTCTATAAAAAAAAATTTAAAAAGTGAAAGATAATGATGAATTAAATGCAGTCAGAACATGATATACAATATATAACACACCAGCAGTTTTTGAACCTAAAATGGCAACACAAGTTAAAATAAATAACTAAAATGTTCAGTTGAAATGTTTACCTTGTAAAATGACAACAGAGAGGACCAATAAAAAGGTACACATTAAAGTTTACATGTTTTAAGATGTATATTATAAAAACAATGTAAAAATAAACTTTCTCTGGAACACTGGACACCCAAGTGTACACACATGCTCCCAACATTAGTCGACAATAGCAGAAAGAAAGAAAAGATACAGACTCAACAATTGTTCAAATGTTCAAACACTTTGGAAAGATCTGAAGTCTAAAAAAAAAAGCTGTATGTTCTAAAAACAGTTACAGAAAGCCAGCACAGTTGTCTATGTAACAAAAAAGTAATCTCTAAAAACATGCAGACATTAGCTTGCATTGTAAACTGCTGAGTTAGGACATGGAACAAACTATATCCACTGTTATGGGAATGAAGCAGCAGAGAAACTGAAATTAAAGTGTCAAGGCCATTGTTAAGGAAAGATTCAGAGAAAACAAAGAGTGCCAACTAAAGAAAAAAAAAAGAAATGTAGATGTACATTTGTGCATTCAAGGCTTCTGGTGTTTACATAATAGCACTAAATGTTTCAGTCTCAGAATTAAGACTTCCCATTTGTTAAAATCCTAAACATTTTTTTTTTTTAAATACATTTGATAAAACATTATTTTTTCTACATTTCCATTTGTTTAACAACTTTTTAAGTCATTTCTTTTAATTTAGATATTAAAGAAAAATTTGAGTTCACAAAAGTAGTTCCACTTTGGCATGTCATAGTCATATGGATGGCATTACAAGGTCAATAAACATCATGCATTGATCTGATATAAAAATAGCCATATCTATGAGAGAAGAGTCAACATTGACAATAATAACACTTGAGTGACAACAAGTTTTCATGACAATACACTTTATTGAACTCAACAAAAACAACACATTTTTTGCATCAAGCTTGTAAATTAATCTTTCCAAAACAATGTTAACGAAAATTCTGATATATTCACAAAAAATATTGGCATTGTAGTCTTCAAGAGCAGGCTGTAGAGGTCACTACAAACAAAATGTAAAAAAAAAAATCTTGCATCAGTCAAAAAAATAAATGTGACACAATAAAAGCGCCATTTACTCTTCTATTCACATGCCCATTCTCTCTATTATGACTAAATAGTTGTACACATGTATAGACATTTATATATTGCACTTGGTCAAAATTGATTTCTTTAGCAGATGCCAAATTACATTAAAAATGTTCACACAAGTCTGGCAAAAGATTTCACAGACAAAAGGCTTAGAAAAAATGTTTGCTTGCAATGATAATGAAGGTAGATGTATTACATACAAGCCAGAATGAAAGCCTGTATACCTCCACAAGTAGAGATTCCTAGTTCCAATACATCTTATGTCTAAATCACACCACAGAATTACATCTATACAAGACCATTAGCTCATTTTCTTGGATGTACATTTTCTATTATTAGCCAAACTTTGCTTTCTATACTGTCAGTAGTCCTGTTAATGGAACTTCCAAATGATTCAAATTTGTTTTAGAAATAACTTTTCATTCATGAAGCCTAAAAGTACTTTCTGTGGCAGATATTGCATTTTTATTTTGTATTTCTTTTAAACCATCTTTTACAATGAGATATGCTTGTCTTCTTTAAATACAATATCAGAATGGAGGTATTTGTTGACTAAACAAAATATCTTAATTTCAAATGCTACCTATCTATACAGCTAAGATTCTTTCAGAGAATTTTTCTTTTTGTCTTTCTTGGTCTTGCCATCATATTGTCATAATGAAATTAACGTTGGTGAGCCAACTGCCTCTGAGCTACTCTCGCTGGAGTTTCTTTGCACTTGGCTGGAGCAGGACATTCCTGTCAGTGGGGTCAGGCCAGTGGATCCATCCACCATGCTATCGAGCCCAGGGCAAAACAAGGAGGAAGGTGTGATAGACACCCCTGAGGTGGGAGTGTTGATGGTCACTCCTGTGGCAGAGGTTACGGACAGCATACGGGCACGCTCTCTCTTGATCAGGGGTAGGGAGTTGGGCCGTGAGGACAGGGAGGAGGATTCTCTGCTACTTCCTAGTGACGAGGACGTGGACACCACATAGGATGTGGAGGATAAGGAAGACTGGGACATGCTCAGGTTTTCTGGCATGGAGGACAGGTCATGGGGAGCATGGGAGGAGTGGGCACCAGGCTCTGCCTTCAGGTGGAGAGCATGAGCGTACAAGTGGGCAAGGCCAGGCTCTATCTTGACTTTAACATCTGACCTGCTCCTAGACTCTACCTTACAGAGTGGCTGATGAGCTTGTAGTATCAGCTCCAGTTGTTCTTTTTCTTGTTGCAAATTCTGAATCTCATGTTCCAGCTGGCTCTGTTCTGCTTCAAGTTTTTCTGTTTCCTGATATTAAACAAATGACTTTCTTTAATTGAACACAATAAAAAGAAACAAAGATTAAAAAAAATAATAAAAAATTATAATGGCATGAAAGCAAATGTTGAATAGTCCAAATCATGTTAAAATTATGCAAATATCTTGTCCACTATTGTATACCAAGGTAGAGGGGGCGCCCTGGGCACCAGAGCATAAGGAACAATACCATTGATATCAAATTACTACATAATATTTTATACATTTCTGTCGCTACAGATTGTTCGTACATTAACTTTCTTTCACATTATATGTAAGTTTTCCATTGCATTGCAGAGCATATGGTGTCACTATGGGTATCTAAACAGTAAATAATATTTTAGATATTTCTGTCACTACAGATTGTTTATTCATTAACTTCCTTTACTTTATATGTAAGTTTTCTAAGGCTTGCTGGTGACTGTACTAATGCAAACAAGGCTCAACTCTTTCTCTCCTGATTGACGATACCATCATTGATTAGGCCTCATTAAATTAAATAATTTTTGGGACCATAAACTTTGATTTATTATGCATTTATCTCTTCCAATTATAACATTTTCTGATTAAAAGAAAAACATTATTGGAGTTTAACCCTTACAGGCTAGTGAAATACAAATGAGAAAAATGAATAACTCCTTCTAAGCGCGGAAAATAATTACTGAGAGTAAGAGATAACTTCACTGTTAGGAGGGTGGGTGGGTGGTGGTGGACAAGCTTGCTGTCCAGAACCCTGGAGCCACTGCTTATCCGAGGCTTATCATCCTATGATAAAACTAAGTGCTCAATGACTTTGTGTAATAGCTTAAATGACAGTGTATTTTATGAAGTGAGAGTGTCCTGGAGACACACCAAAGACCCCTCACAGTCACACTTTAAAAAACCCAAAACTTGTTTAAAACTGATGAATGGGTGGTGGCAGTGAGAAAGCTTGAATGGGACAGTGTGTTACTGGCATCAGTAAGACATTTTTTTTTTATTGTGTAGCATCTTAACCATACACACACACACACACACACAGAGTTAACTAAATAAAACTAGTTTCATAAAATGAAGAATCTTTTCCAAGTTTTGATGTGGTTCACCACTCTTTAGTCTACATTCTTACTAGTTGAACCATCTGAATGCTTACCTCTACTAAGACATTGGTATGATCCACTCTCCTCTGTCGACATTTGGCTGCAGCCACTTTGTTTCTCTCTCTACGAACTCTTCTTCTTTCTTCCTCTTCTGGAGGCAACTAAAACAAACAAACAAACAAAGTTTTTTTTCCTTTTCAAAAGTTTTAAATGACACCAAACTAATAAAAGAATAAAATTGTCTTCACTAAAAAAGGTAATCTTGCTGGAAAAAATCATTGGTAGTCCTGGTAACTAAGTGCATTTAATACATGGTTATGTCCCTTGCTTTAAAAGTAAGATCAGAGAACTAGTGGGATTAAAGCTCATATGGATACTTCTATTCATTCTAACACAAATGTAAACTTTGGAATGCTTTGTTCTTGTTGGAATGAATTTTTTCATTCTTCTTTCCTTTCGTGTGTATTCAGCCATGCAGTTGTTTTTAGCTAAATCCACCCTTCCCACTGCTTGTTTCCCCCCCCAACCATACATTCTAGATAAAAAAA